GTACAGGGCAATGTGATCGCGGAACTTTCCAATGTGGGCGTCATTGATAACGACAGGGCCGCCTGGGGAAGGCAGTGTCAGGGGCAGCCTGTCGTCATGCAGAAGCCGCAGCACAGTTTCCAGATAGTCGTCGTCGGAGGGCATGACACGGTGCTTGCGCATGTATGCCGCCAGCCAGGCCTTTGGCGAAGCCCATGGTTGCCTGCAGTTTGGCCGACCAGGAGGTGCCGTGCTGAGAGAGGTGGGCTTGTCTGCAGGTGCCCAGCCAGTTCAGCATCGACAAGCCATCAACCCAATCGGGCAGGTACCAGCACAGCAGCCGCCCGGTCTTTTCGGTCAACTTCATGGCAAGTGTCTGCGCACGTAGCGCCACACCCTATACAGGCCCTACAAGCCGCATGAGAAAAGGTATTTGAGAACTAACGCAGCTGGTTGTTGCACGTGTGCCAAAGCGTGTGCCAAAGCATGTAAAACTGTAGGTGGCGCGCCGTCAACTCGTTTTCGCTTAGAGCCAAGATTGCCCGAGAGAGACGACTGCGAGGCTCGTCCAACCATGCCGTTCATCTTTGGGCGGCATCAACACACATGCGTCAAGTCACTTGTGATATACGGCGCAGGGGCGTGTGCTGGCAAGCTTGTTTTGGCACCTGCGACGCCGTCTGTTGTGGGAAGTTGCAGCCCACAGCTGCAATGAGCATGCACCGTGCTCTGCGCTGCCAGCACAGTGTACTGCTCGCGCCGCACCAGTGGCTCCGAATGGAAACCCTTGAAATATGTTGCGGGCTACCTGTGCACGTAGCGCCTGGGAGGTGAAACGACTGTTGCTAATCACGTCACGCTCCGTGAAGATGCCCGCCAGCAGGAAGTCATTGTAGTAGCCGACCCTGCTGATGGCCGTGTAGGCTGCGGCGGGAACCTTCGGGGCATCCAAGTAGACGACGACATGAGGCAGCTCTGCGCCTTGAAACTTCAGGATGGTGGACGCGTAGCCAGGCCGGACGGGGTAGTAGACCAAGCCACCCCTGTCCGGGTCGGTCCAAGGCCAAATGCTGACCACGAAGCCGGTGGTGGTGCGCACCAGGAGGCCGCCCGTGCCGTCGTCATACTTCAGGACCGTCGCCTCCATGCCGTGGACGAAGTCGACGTCTTTCCGCGCGTTGCGCGTCAAGTACACCTTCATGCCCTTGTAGACAGGCATGGCGGAGGGCTGCAGCTCGCCGGCCGGCTTCAGCTTGCCCCGCACGCAGTTCTCGGGGTTGGAGTCCACGTCAGCCGGCAATGTTGCCAGCGGAGGATAGTGAGGGAAGAGGGCCTTCAAAGCAGCTCCGTTGACTATAGCAGCACCCCGCCTGGTGCAGATGAGGATGGTGGTGTCGGGCTTCGATTTCAGAAGCTTCCGGAGTCCCTTCACTGTGGGTGGGCCCGGAGGCCTACGCCATCTTCCTACGGAGCTGTCGGAGGAGCTTCGCGCTCGGCTTGCCAGTCCTGAGTACTGCCAGGAGCTTGGCGTGCACCTTGTCCTTGCACCTGTACATCTTGTGCAAAGCCACCCGATAGCACAATGTGTTCCAGAGGCGCCCATGCCAGGGCCGCTGTTCTCCCATGCCGGCCATCTGGTACCGGTCGCCCAGCAGCGCTAGTGCCGGCGCGCGATCTGCAGCTGCCCAGAGCTTCAGGATCTTCTCGAAGTTGACCATATCCAGCTGCGAGAGCTCGTCTACGACGATGAGGGAGTACATGCTTAGCAAGGAGGCCTCCCCGTGCTCAGCAGACTCATGTAGGCCGAAAGCGGCGTGGCAGGTGTCGATGTCGACCTTGTGACCGTAGCGCGCCTTCATGCGACTGGACAGCTGGGCCGTCGGCAGAGCCATCAAAACTTTGCCACCCTTGGCCAGAGCACGATCGATGCAAGAGAAGATCACGGTGGTCTTGCCAGTGCCAGGGGGCCCTAGGCAGACGCTGGCCTTGCTGCTTCGAGCTTCTTGTCGCAAGCGGTCTGCCTCGCCCTCGTCCTCTGCTTCCTCGATGGTTAACGCACGGTCCACCGCCGCGTCCACGATCTCCTTGAAGCCTGGCAGGCCGGGAGCAACACACTTGCTGGACATACTCGTAAAATCGACTCAAATACCTTCTGACGCAGTCGAGGCGCGGAGCTGCTGTCTGTTGAACTTGCTGGCATCCACAGGACCCGCTTTCGTCTTGGAGGCCTGCTATTGTAGAGGTGAAACCGAAGCTTCCCTGGAGCCCTTCTGTAGAGGTGAAACCGAAGCTTCCTGGAGCCCTATTGTAGAGGTGAAACCGAAGCTTCCCTGGTGCCCTATTGTAGAAGTGAAACCGAAGCTTCCTGGAGCCCTATTGTAGAGGTGAAACCGAAAATTCCCTGGTGCCCTATTGTAGAAGTGAAACCGAAGCTTCCTCGAGCCCTATTGTAGAGGCGAAACCGAAGCTTCCTGGAGCCCTATCGTAGAGGTGAAACCGAAGCTTCCTGGAGCCCTATTGTGGAGGTGAAACCGAAGCTTCCTGGAGCTCTATTGCAGAGGTGAAACCGAAGCTTCCCTGGAGCCTTATTGTAAAGGTGAAACCGAAGCCTTCTGGAGCCCTATTGTAGAGGTGAAACCGAAGCTTCCTGGAGCCTTATTGTGGAGGTGAAACCGAAGCTTCCCCGGCGCCTTATTGTAGAGGTGAAACCGAAGCTTCCTGGAGCCCTATTGTAGAAGTGAAACCGAAGCCCTATTGTAGAAGTGAAACCGAAGCTTCCTCGAGCCCTATTGTAGAGGTGAAACCGAAGCTTCCTGGAGCCCTATTGTAGAGGTGAAACCGAAGCTTCCTGGAGCCCTATTGTGGAGGTGAAACTGAAGCTTCCTGGAGCTCTATTGCAGAGGTGAAACCGAAGCTTCCTGGAGCCCTAATGTAGAGGTGAAAACGAAGCTTCCCTGGAGCCCTATTGTAGAGGTGAGACCGAAGCTTCCGGGCCCTTTTGTAGAGGTGAAACCGAAGCTTCCCTGGAGCCGTATTGTAGAGGTGAACCCGAAGCTTCCTGGAGCCCTCTTGCGGAGGTGAAACTGGAGCTTCCCTGGAGCCCTATTGTAGAGGTGAAACCGAAGCTTCCTGGAGCCCTATTGTAGAGGTGAAACCGAAGCTTCCTGGAGCCCTCTTGTAGAGGTGAAACCGAAGCTTCCTAGAGCCCCCTTATCTCCTGGAGCCCTGTTGTAGAGGTGAACCGGAAGCTTCCTGGAGCCCTCTTGTAGAGGTGAAACCCAAGCTTCCCTGGTGTCCTATTGTAGAGGTGAAACCGAAGCTTCCTCGAGGCAAATTGTAGAGGTGAAACCGAAGTTTCCCGGAGCCCTATTGCAGAGATGAACCCGAAGCTTCCTGGAGCCCTATTGTAGAGGTGAAACCGAAGCTTCCTGGAGCCCCCTTGCTTCGTGGAGCCCCCTTGTAGAGGTGAAACCGAAGCTTCCTGGCGCCCTCTTGTAGAGGTGAAACCGAAGCTTCCCTCGGGCACTCCCAACCCTTAATTTTAGCGCCCAAACCCATAAATTCTGGCTCCGACCCTTAATTTTAGGTCCCAAACGTTAATTTTAGCGCCCAAATCTTTAACTTTTGGCTCCGGCCCTTAAT